AGAGACTCTGGCTTAACTGGTAGAAGAGATGACCCGGCCATGCTTTCAAGCTTTGTGGGGTGTGTGTGTGTGTGTGTGTGTGTGTGTGTGTGTGAGTGTGTGTGTGTGTGTGTGTGTGTGTGTGTGCACGCACAGGCACGCACAGGCACGCACAAGTCAGCTATGGAGCTTTTCAAAAGTGCAGAAAAATAGTCCTCATATCCATATCCTAGACGGAAATCATCCGTATTTGGGTTTTCCCAAACTCCCCTGAGGACTACACTGGTCAATGGGGTAGAGACTCATCGCTGCAAAGCTGTAGTTTATAAATGCCAAGGCCTCAGACCCATCTGGCCGGCTCGTCAGAATGCAGGCTCCTGGGCTGCACCCAGGATTCCCGAGTCGGCAGGCCTCAGGTGGGGCCCAGCATCCAGCCCTCTAGTCTCCCAGGTGAGGCTCCCCTGACAGCTATCGCCCTGCACGTGTGGAAGCTTGCTGTGAGAGTGCACCCTTCTGGAAGACCTTGTTCCTGTCCCATTCAGTCACCCTGCAAACATTCCACACAGACTATCAACTGACAAGTAACACTAACACTTGTTAAGAGCCTCAGTGATACAAGCAGTTTGCAATAGGCTTGGAACCCCAAGGTTGACAGTTCAAACCCATCCAGCAGCTCCCTGTAAGAAAACTCATTGCCATTGGCTTAATTCTGACCCTAAGCAACCCTATAGAATGCACAGAATTGCCCCAGAGAGTTTCCAAAGCTATAATCTTTATAGGAGCAGACTGTCTTGTATCCTTGAAGAATCTGGTGGATTCGCGTCACCAACCTTTGATTTGCATCCAAATTTAACCACCAAAGCGCCAAGGCTCCTTCCTTGGTAGAAAGGCTTGGCAAACTGCTTCTGTAGAGATCACAACCAAGAAATCCCAGAGAGTACCCTGCTCTCTAGTACATGGTGTTGCCATGAGCATGGGGTGACGCTACGGGAGCTAACATAACCATTCTTATGGAATATTCATCAGGCGGCAGGTCCTGGGCTCCGTGTCTTGCTATTATGTCCCTCCAGCAAGCCTGCCCATGTGCTGTTGTTACAAGGATGCTACAGATGACAAAACTAAGGCTCGGATTACAAAATGACTTATCCAAGGTCACACTGGTCACACAGGGCAGTAAGAGCTCCCAACAAGCTTCCCTAACCGCCACACCACATTGCCTCAAAAGTCCAAGAAGTCTAATGTGATTTGAAGCACACCATTTGGATAGTCAGGGTTTTCTCAAAGTTCATATAAACACGCAAAATCATTTTAAGAATAAGGCGACAGCAGCAAGAATGTGCTGGAAAACTGTGCCCACGGTCACTGAGCTGGGGCCTACTTCATGTGCTTGAACTTCCTCAATGATCTGGAACTTAATTCCTTGTAAAATAAGATTTGAAACCACAAGCAAAGCAACACTGTATGCATTTGCACAGGATGTGCAATTCAATGCAAAATGAGGCTGATCTGTCAGAGATACAAGTCATTCTTTCCTAATTGTAAAGTAACTGGGGTTTTTCATGTGGAGTCGTGGGGGAAGGGAAGTAGGCCAGAGGCGCAGGAGGCGGGCATGTGACTGGGGCTTCCTGTTAATGCTATCTTCAAATAAATTAATACATACAATCACAGAGACACAATAGCTGGACTAAAATGGGAAACTCATTAAAAACACCATTTTAATTTTTAACTAAAAATGTTAAGATCGGATAGTATTTAAAATTCTGAGTTTGCTTTTACTTTGTATTAAACGAGAAGCTGAAAGCCCAAGAAAGAGGCCTGTGGGGTCTAGATTCAGGGTCATTTTCCTCAGGCCTTTTAACATGCCTGGCAAGAACACATGCAGGCTTTCACAATTTCTCTTTTGGAAATAATTCTATTTTGTCTTTGGAAGTGCTAAATACCAAATAATATGTAGGTTTTGGATTATAGAAGATAGAATTCATATAGAAATAAAAAGATTAACACCATTCTCTTTGAAATACACACAGAAATCTGCTCCTTGAAAGTAGACAATATGGTATGACCATCAACCATCATTGCTCCTTCTTGGGTATTAAGGACCCAGTTTCTTGCATGTTTGTTGTTTTTTTGTTTGTTTGTTTTTTATTATTGTTAGGTGCTGTTGAGTCATAGCGACCCTATGAACAAAAGACTTGAACACTCATATAACTTTTGTCCTTTCTCCAAGTTCATAGGGTTTCCGGAGGCAAGCTATTTTAGAAGTGGTCTGCTTCCAAGCTTGCTTTAATTGGGGAGCTCCACCAAACACTATCCACCATGAGTAACCATTATCGCATTTGATGCATCAGTGTCACAGTGTTTAGCATCTCAGCCACCATGAGTTACCTCTGTACAGCAAATGGATAGACCACTTAGAAGAATGTCTGACCAAAACAATTAAAAGCAGGCCTGTGGGCTGTACGTTAAAATCATCTACGTTTGGCTTGGTAGCATCACTTTCTGTCCACTAGGCCAGCTGAGCCTATGTTGTTGCTGTTAAGTGTCATTGAGTCATAGATGACTCATAGTAATCCTATGACTTACGCTATTATGTTCAAGATGGTTCTGTGTGTTTATAGGGGAACTCTGATGGTGTGGTCCACAGGGGGTTGTACTGTTATTCCAAAGACAACTTCTCTCTCTGAAGGTTCAAATCCATCCGTTACTTCATGGAAGAACGATGGGCAATTTTCTCCTGTCGGATTCCCAGCGTTGACAAGCTAACGGAGGGGCAGCTATGATTTGATGCCAACTCATCGCCAGTGAGTTGAGTCTGTGTAATTACACTGTAGAACTGATAAGATGAACTCACATTGGAATGTTCTATAATCTTTATTAAGCATATAAGTCTTTATTAAGCATATAAGCATTATTAAGTCATTATACTCAGAGTCTGTGCCTGAACTGAGTTTATGGAAGTTGGCTCTCACTCACAGCCTGGTCCAGAACCTAGAAAGAGGCTTTGAATCAAGACTACCTGCCACTAAGAAGCAAAAACATTCAAACTCAATATAAAAACAGGGATCTATCTAAAATACAACAGTATTCGACTCAACAATTAAAACGGGAAGATGAAGGACGAAATGGCTGGAAACCATATTGGGGGAAACGATCATTTGTACAGCAGTGCTTACCTCTGGGACCTGGAGTTATTCAAAGTCGAAAGCACCGGGCCATGCAATGTTTTTTCAGACGATGAAGACAGATTTTTTCCCATTTGTGGATAAGGACAAAAGGAAAATAGATTGTTGGAGAATGTATATATTCTTTTAGGTCATCAGCAAGGACGAGCAAATGGCAGCGTTTCATTTACACAGAAAGTCTCTCCTGATGCTAGTAGCCGCAAAAGCTGTGACTTAGGGATGGAAATACATAGCCAGGAAAATTTGGACTGAAATTCTCTTGAGCAATAATAACATATTAATTGATTTCTTACAGCAAATATGCACTAATTTAATGTAGCTAAAAGCTCTGCCCATTGGAAGGCTTCTCAAAAGTCCATTTAAATTTGGCAAGTTTTACAAGTTATACACAGAAAGAAAACGCAAAATGAATCAAAATCTAAGCCTGATAGTTCTATACTCCCTCATGAAACACTGCTGCCTCCTGATGGAACCCTTGAGCCTAAACTTAGACTCTCCTACGACTGGAAATGAAATCATCCCCATTACTCATTTTCACAATACGTACAGAACTATAAGGTAATCAATAACACCAGGAAAGAACACATCCCTTCATGTGAAAGAAAATCAAAGAGCAAAAGGAAGGTGTAGTCTTTGAGAAGGGGTTAAAAAAAGGACAAATGGAGGACATTATGCTGAGTGAAATATCTCAGTCACAAAAGGATAACTACTGCATAGTGCCACTATTGTAAAATGGGACAGACATCGGGGTTGGGGGGAGACTGAGAAAGATGGGTTCAATAATGTGTACTGCGTTGAAATATATGAGGGAGAGAACTTTTTAAAAGGGATATATGATTAGGTATTATTGTCACGACAGGAGTCCAGAATGAAGGCTGCATAGTGGGGTGGACGTGGGGGAGGGATTGTAAAACAATGAAAGAATTTTTCTTTTACTTTTCAAAGAGAAGAACAAACCGGAAGGAAGGGGTGGGCAGGGAGAAAAGTGTAATAATGAATGAATTTAAATCCGAAGTTTCTGTAAATTTTCATTAAAACTAATAAAATAAAATTACAAAAAGGGCAAACAGGAATAGCAAACACGGGCAGAAAACCGAGGAGCACTGTTACAATATAAGGATCATAACCGATGCTGTGAACTTAGTATGTATGAGTCTTGAAAGGAAGATGAATGTGTGCTGGAAACTTTTACTCAAATCACAGCACAAAGGTGATTTTTTTAAAAAAAGAAATTGCAGTCTATTATTGTTCTTTGTGCTGGGTTATTACAAAACTGTAAAATATTCTGGGCTGATACCATATGAGCATAATATTGATTTCGGATCTTAAACTGTATTACTTCTTTCAATGTCAAGTGTATGCTTCTTTTTGTCCTTTCTTCTCTCCACGTTGCTTTGGATTTTTTTTAAACTCTATTATTAAAAAGGGTTATGGATATAGAGCTTAACTTGGGTAGCCTTTGCCCCTTATAGGAACTAATGTACTTTAGAGAAAAAGTTAAATAAAACATCTAGAAAAATCAATGGGAATTCAGAGACATGAATCAAATACAGCATCCTAACTTATGATAATCCAATTATTCTTAGCCTCTAGGTTCAGGGAACACACTTACTTACCATAGAAATAGCATTGTGTGAAATTGAATCTTAATTTTCAACATTTGCTAGAGCTAATGATAGATATCGGTTAGCCGAGTACATGATAACTTATAGTGAAACTTGAAGCAAATATACTCTTTGTTTTAAGAAGTGGCCCACTCATACACGCCTGGGAAGGATGATGCTGACAGTGGCCCTGCACACTGCTGTGCAGGGACTGTTGGCAGGATAAGGGGCACTAGGGAGCTCACCTTCAGGCCCTGGGGGCCCTTGTCGGCCTGGGGGTCCAGGTAAGCCTTTGTCTCCAGGTGGCCCAGGAAGTCCATTTGGCCCCTGTGGTCCTGGGAGTCCCATTGGTCCTTAAAGGAACATGTGAACATACAGTGGTATGAAGACAAGGACTGAGTTCAAAGATGCAGCCCAACAAGGCAGATTCAGCCTCAGAGTCCAGATACATCTCTTTTTTTGTTAGAAGGCCATGTTATGGAGCACGGGTGGCACAGTAGATTAAGCATTAAACTGCTAACCAAAGGGTCTATGGTTTGAATACAGCGACTACTCCAAGGGAATAAATGAGGTGGGCGGTTCCTACACAAACTGACAGACTGGAAAACCTACAGCGTCACTCTGGCCTGTCTTTCAGGGTTTCTAGGAGTCAGGGTGGATGTGATGGTAGTGGGTTTGGTTGCTTTGGGGATTCCCTCCCATTTCTTTCTTTCTTTTTCTTTTCTTTTTTAAATGTACATAAAGTTACCTCTGTAAGAAGGGAACACAATGAACAGTAAAAAGAATGAAGGAAAATTGGAACCATGATCAAGGCTAAATGAATGAAAAATCTACTTCTCCCTGGAGGCATTAAAAGAGGTACTGAAACTGAAGGAGAAATAAGGAAAGCGGTGCCAATTAGCAGGGGACACAATGTCCCCGAACCCAGCCCTGACTTTAAACCTCTCTCATCTTCACGCTCTGAGCTTTGTCCTCACCAGCAGTTCTGTGTTTTGGTAAAAAGTGTTGCTTCCCTTCTTCCTGATGCATAATCTCCTCCATATTCTCCAGCGTTCACTGGCGAAGCCTCCTCCCTCAGGGTAGAAGCCCCTCTGACGTCCCTCTGCTTTCTGACGAGCCCTTCTCTCAGTGCAGGAAGCAGTCTGCACTGGGGTGTCCTTCCATGTCAGTCTGTCTGTCTGCCCGCATGAAATGTATGATTGGGTAAAGGGACTGGTGCTGTGTAAATCTGTTCACTGCTATATCCACAAGGAGGTTCCAGCTGGTACAAAGGCTTAACAGTTTGATGACCAGTCAAAAGGTTGGCAGTTCGAACACCCAGGGTAACTGAAGCCCTTCTTAGTGACCCCCTTTAGGACCCTTTTGGGGGAGCCAGAACGATTTGGAATTGCTGTTACTATACTATATAAAACAGGAATTACTTCACGGTACAGGAACCAAGATCTTCAGAGGTAAAATAACGAAAGTACTCCCATACTTCCTGAGGAACAACACCGATTCCTACCTTTTGGGCCGTCATTCCCATCACATCCTGGGAAACCACTGTGTCCTGCAGGGCCTGGTGGGCCTGGGGGACCCGGGAGCCCTGGGAGGCCACACTCACCAGGATCCCCCCTCAGGAAGTCCACACTTCCAGGGGTGCCTGGAGGCCCTGGAGCACCTGATCAGAGAGAGAAGGCAAAAGATCCTTTCAGTCAAAGACAAGTTTGAATACCATTGCCAGCGAGTTTTTTAAGAAAAATAGTCATCCATAAGAAAGACTGAGATATTTGAGAAGAGTGAGAGGTTAGAATCTTTCATAATGTTTGCAACAACCTAGTAGAAAATAGGGGTATGTTTGCATACACACTATATATATCTATCTATATCTATATCTATCTATATATATACAGAGAGAGATAGATACATACACACACATCTATCTCTACATATATATATATATGCACACACACATATACACACATACATATCTATCTACACACACACACGTACACAAGTGTATGTGAGAGAGCAGGAGGGAGAGATAAGGATAATAGAAGAATTCATGCCTTTGAGTTGTGTTGGAAAAGAGTGCTGACTATCCCATTGACCGCCAAAAGAAGAAACAGAAAAGTCTTGGCGAAATATGGCTAGAATGTTCCTTGGAGGCAAGGATGATGGTCATACTTTTCACACTTTGCTAGGAGAGGTTATTCCTTACAAAAGGACATCATGCTTGGAAAGGTGGAAGGTCGGTGAAAAGAGAGGCAGACCCCCAATGAGATGGACTGACAAGGTAATTGTAGCAATGGGCTCAGTGTGCCAAAGATAATAGGGATGGCTCAGGACAAGACAAAGGTCAGATGTGAAGTGCACAGGGTCATTATGAGTTGTCCTTGAGTTGATGTCATCTAACAACAATGTGTGTGTGTTGTGTGTGTGTGTGTGTGTGTGTGTATTTATGAGAAGGATGGGCAGTCTCCTCCAGTGCAATTAACTGTCTCTCTGAAAAACCCCTGGAGGATCAGCAATGGATTTCTATTTGATGGTAAAAATAACATGTATATATATGTATGTATGCATGTATGTGTGTATATATATCTATACACACATATATACGTATATATGTATATATCTATATACACACATATATGTGTGTGTTGTTATGTGCCGTCGAGTCGTTTGCGACTCATAGCAACCCCATGTACAACAGCCCTAAACCCTGCTGCTCTATCCTGTGCCAATGTGTGTGTGTGTGTGTGTGTGTGTGTGTGTGTGTATATATATATATTATGTATACATATGTTGTCTGTGTTGTGTATCAGAGTTAGAACCGACTCACAGCTGACCCCCCAGCAGATTTTCAGAGGCCGTTAATTGCATTGCACAGGAGGAGACTGGGAGATTAATTGCCTATTCTTCTGGTGGCCTCGGACCACGTGCCTTCAGAATTGTAGTACACCTCCTCGCCACTAGGCCACCAGAGCTCGCTCACTTGCTCACTTTCTCTTTCTCCACAAATATATGGTAGATACACACACACACACACACACACACACACATTTACATGCTGTAGCAGGAGTGGCGAGGAGGAGAGAGAAAGAGACGAGAGAGAGGTGAAGGTCGGTGGTAAAGGTGAAGAGAGACTTTTGAGGAAAATGCCCAAAGGAAAACAATCTTCAGCCTATTAAAAGTATAAAAAGTTCAAAAATAAGAGTGAATGAATTCAGTAAAATAATATTCTTATTTGGTATCTACGCTTCCTTGAGTGTTTTTATCTTGGAAAAAAATAGAATGAGTTAATATTTTATCTCACGTTTACTAATATTCTAAAGATTCAAAGACAGTGAGTTTGTGTCTCTATGAAACTTCCAAAATGAGTTTATATGGGTGTGATTAGATGATCTGTATTTAGTCAGACATTGCATTGAACCATTCTCTTCACCCAATTCCCAGGCCAGCTGCAGCCCAGCCCTGCGTTATTAGCTCAGTGATGACTTCCAGAACACTCTGCCGTCAGAGCGCCTCTCTAAGAGGTGATGAAAGGAGCCTGAGATACTGCAGGGAGCCCATTCACGGCCTGCGATTTATGTCTTTGTTATGTGTGACAGTCTGTGGCTGACGTGGCAGGCGTGGCAGGCGCTAGGACAGGCCTCCCTCCTGCTGGCCACGTCTGGGTTCACTTCTAGTAGGAGCACTGAGGTGCAAATGAGAGACTCCTGCCTTGGAGAGGGTTTGGAAGTCTGGAAGTGAGGGTCCTGAGTTTTCATCTGGATGTGGTCCGGAGAGCCCAGCGTGCCACACTCCAAACCGGGCTTCATTTTTCTATGTTTTAACTGGTGGGGCTGCTAAGCTGCTTCTCCTCCCCTGTTCTCTGGTCCTACAACCCACAGAGCGCCCAGCACCGAGGGCGCTGCATCTTCTGCCATAGCTTTCTCATACCTCTCGGACCAGCAGGACCAGGAGGGCCCTGGTCTCCTGGTGGACCTGGGTCAGGAATGTCACCTGTAGGAGCAATTCCTGGGCTGCCAGCAGGACCAGGTGGCCCTGGTCTTCCTGAGGAGGCACAAGTTTAGATGTTAGTCTCACAACAATTAGAAGCTTCTGATTTCATTATTGAGGGGAGGGAAGGAGAGGGCAATGCATGCCACCTCTTACCTGGGGGACCTGTAGGACCTCTCTCTCCAAAAAGGCCTGGAGGAGAAAGTCCTGGGCTCCCAGGGTCTCCTCTCTCCCCTTTCTGCCCAGGCATTCCCACTGGACCTGGCGGGCCCACTTCATGCAAACCTTAACAGGAAAAACAAAATGTTGTTAACTGTCTTCAGCCTTGTATTGGGCATGGAAAATAATTGGTTGTCAGTAGGACGTGACAGTCAAGCAGCTAATTCTGTTGAAATCAACCCCTGACTGCAGTGATACCAAATGGCTTATAGTATTCTCAAGACACTGTCCCTATCTTATGACTCAGTACATCAGTCAACTGGTCAACCAGAGTGGGGATTTCTTTTATGATGACCTCGCAACAGCTAAATGACAATATCATTCTTCTACCCTCTACAACGGATGTAATAAAAGAGAGAGGGAGACATACATGCAACGATAAGAGATGATGAATACACAATATGAAATCTGAGATGGCACCAGGCATATTATTGGGACTACTGTAGGGTTGTAGTGTTCACATCAAGAAGGAACACTTCACTGCTTTCTTGGAAGGGCATACATTTAATCAAATTATTAGGAGTCACTAGATGAACAACCCCAAGTGGTTTAAATTATGTCTTTATTCTCCAAACCATAAAAAGAATTTTTATCACTTTAACAATAGACCCAATTCCATCTTTTCTCCACAGTCATGAACATCATGTCTGCTTCTAGCTACCCTGTCGGATTATGAGCTATTTTAGTGTTCATTGCACTCAAATAATATAAGGAGTTGAAGTTGTTGAAGAACAGCCAATTAGTGATTTAATAAATAAAACTAATTTGGTCAGGTAGTTACAGCTACAAGCACTAATTGGGTCCACATGGTTATATCTGGCATTACTACTAGTGGTAGTTGTGAGTTGTGGTGCTGGAGATGAGTCGTGAACATACCATGGACCACTAAGAAAACAAATAGGTCTGTCTTGAAGAGGGTGAAAGTCAAGTTTCTCCTTGGAGGCTAGGATTTTGAAGTTCCATCTCACATACTTCAGGCACATGACCAGGAGGGGCTAATCCTTGGAGAAGGACATCGTGTTTGGAAAGGTGGAGGGACAGCACTGGAGAGGAAGACGCCAAATGAGGATTGATACAGCAACTAGGGCAATGGGAGTAGGTGTGTCTGAGTTGGTGAGACTGGCTCATGACAGGGCAGGGTTCACTATGAGTCACAGGTGACTGGATGGCACAAAACAACAACAACAACAACTAATGGCAAGAAACTATACTGCAATCTCAAAGGTGTGCAGTTCAAATCTGCTCCACGGGAGGAGGGCAGGCAATCTTCTATCGCGTGATTTACTGTCTCTTAAAATTTGCTGGAGGGTCATCTATGGGTTGGTTCTGATACAAGAGCACACAGCAACAATATTTAAAACAACACACACGCACACTCACACAAGCACACTTTATACACAAACACACAAATCATCCCTACTGTTTATTTGTTATTTGTACCATTTTAAAGTCTGGATCCTTTAATCTAACCAGTGTATTTGTATTTATTTTAAGTAAAATGTGATCTCAGGGAATATCAATAAAAGGATCTGTTCATCAGTCATCCTTGTTAAACGAGTCTCTCTTTCTCTCTAATCTCCTTTTATTGTATTTCAGCTCTGAGAACAGTTACAATAACCTAAGCTCTAACCTAAAACAAATTTTTCCTCAATATTTTATTATTAATTTTAATGAAAATGTATAGACTTTGGATTTCCATTCATTCATTGTTGAACTTTTCTCCCTGCCCACCCCTCCCCTCCCAGTTCACTCTTCTCTTTGAAAAGTAAAAGAAAAATTCTTTCATTGTTATATAATCCCTTCCTCCAGGTCCACTCCACTATGCAGCCTTTATTCTGAACTCCTGTCATGACAAAAATACCTAATCACATATCCCTTATAAACAGTTCTCTCCCTCATCTGTTTCAATGCAGTATACATTATTTATCCCGTCTTTCTCAGTTTCTCCCCAACCCCGATGTCAGTCCTGCTAAAACAATTTCTTAGCAAAAGTTGCCAAATTTCACGAAGTGGAGAAGTAGGAAGGAAATAAAGAAGTGACTTCCTGGTCTTCATTTCACAGGAGGAAGGTCAGGTTACCATGAACAGGCGTATCTTACCTGAAGCACCTTTGCTTCCTTTCTGACCCTTCAGACCATGCAAGCCGTTCAGGCCAGGAGACCCCAAGGGACCTGAAAGAGATCACAGGCTTGTGACTCAAATGTGACGCGTGTGGGAAAGGGTCCCTCAGGTGTCCTGCTGAGTCCCTCAGGTGTCCTGTTGAGTGAAGAGGGCAGGCAAATCTCACTCTGCATATATCCATTATCTAGGATGGAATCTGTAGCATGATAGTTTAACACATTGATTTGATATAAAAGCAAAAGCAGCTAACATATGACTTTCTTTGATTTAAAGTACTACACTGGTTTATAACCATCATGTGAATATATCTAATTTTTGCCTTTGGGTTAGCAGCCCAACTCCAACAGACTGTCACCAAAGCCCACAGTATTAGAATTAAGAATGGCTTATATATTGATCTATGAAATGACCTTCTATTCAATGGCAATAAAACCACCTTAACTAAGGAGAGCTATTGGATCAGCACACACACATACACAGGTCTTCTGGCTCCTAGGCTCAAGGTCTTTCCACTGTACTAGGTCTACAGAGGATTTTCATTTCTTCAGGATCTATTATGTAAATGTCAGTACGTCAAGGACAGATGGGTACTGTGGCACATTGAAATATCTAACACATTGCCATTGAGTCAAACCAGACTCATAACGACGGCACCTTCCAATATCGACAGTAGGACAGTGCAAAATTGTCCCATAGAGTTTTCAAGGCTGTGAAGTCTTTCAGAATTAGACTGCTGCGCTTCTCTACTGTGGAATGACTGATGGGTTTGACACTATGACTTTTTCAGCTAGTGGAGAAATAGTTTAGCCTCTGAACCACCTAAGCACTTTATTGGGTAATATATCCCCCCTCCCAAGTATTCTTTGTTACTTGTAATATTTCTTATATATTATGGAGAAAAAATTCTTTTTAAAACACACAGTGCTACTCAGAAAGACCAAGCTTGGAGTCACACTCAGCTGTAGTGATTCCTCACAACCATTTGCTGCATTTGACGCCACGTCACAGAAACAAAATTATTTTGTGAGGACTACTGAAAATGTTGGTCACTTCCACTCGCTATTATCCTGCTGATGCCTCTATCTGCTTCCAGAACCTTCTATCAGACATTGGGGTAGTTCTCTGAAGGAACGCCCACCAACCTGGCTTCACTCGGCACTGAACGCTTTCAGTGGGAAATGGTAAGGTTTGCCATCAATACACTTGGATTTGAGTTTCATTTATCCAAATTGAATTGTAACCCGTCATCCTCTTTTTCAAGCGATCTGAGTGGCCAGTGGAAATTGGGTAAAAGAAAGGGAGAGAATGAGAGGAACAAATGGAGAGAGAAGGCAGGAGGAAGGCAGGCAGGTAACATGTTTACGGAGCACCTTCTTCGTGCCGAGCTCTTGGTCAGGTGACTTCACACACATCCTGTCTCGTTGCTGATGTGAAAAGTTTTCTTCTTGTCCTAACCAAGCCAGTCTCTTTGTTTTGCTGGATCCTTCATTCACTATTTGTTGTTGTTGTTGTTAAGTGCCGTTGAGTCGCAGGCGACTCATAGCGACCCTATGAAGGAGAGTCCTCGACACTTGGGTGCCTTTCATCCTCTCTCTAGGTTCATAGGGTTTCCGGAGGCAAGCTGTTATGGAAGTGGATGCCACTCCTCCTTCCACTCATTCACTATTTAGTCTTTTTTTATTCATGGTTGAGTGCTCCTCAAGATATAGGTAGCCAATGTAGGATAGAAGTTTCAGGAAAAAGATAGGGCATCAAGAGAGTAACAAGCCTAATTCCAGAAACCAATGTTTTCATTTCATTTAGGGATGAAAACATCTCTCAAATCTGCCATAGCAACACTCTCTGCTTCCATGACTGGACACACAGAAGGCATCCATACACCCTCTGCTGACGACCACATACCTCTCCCCCGTGGTGTGTGTGTCAGCGGCCTCCCCACAACTGTCTACTGGTCATGTCTTGGGGTAACTGTCCCTCTCATTCAAGTGTAAATCAACTGAATGCAAGACCAAGGTCAACTAGTCTCTCTAAGCTAGTACTTAAAACATATTTCCTCATCTAAAATAGCAAACAGAAAAAACAAATACTGTGGACTTTGGTGACAGTCTGTTGGAGTTGAGCTAATAATCCAAAGGCTAATATAAATATTTGTTGACTAGTGTCTCTCTGGAGACTAAGGTGCGCCTGATACAGGCCATGGTATTTGCAATCACTTGTTATGCATCAGAGAGCTGGACAATAACTAGGGAGGACAGAAGGAGAGTGGATGCTTTCGAGCTGTGGTGCTGGAGAAGGGTACTGAATGTACCATGGACTGCCGGAAAACAGATTCATCTTGGAGAAGATTAAGCCAAGCTACTCCTTGGAGGCAAGGATTCTGGGGCTTCGTCTGACATACTTTGGACATGTTGCCAGGAGGGATGGGTCCTTGGAGAGGGGCATCATGCTTGGGAGGGTGGAGGGACAGCGCAGGAGGGGAAGACCCTCTATGAGATGGATTGATTCGGTGACTGGGGTAATCAGGATGGGTGTATCAGAGGCGGTGCGGTTGGCGCAGGATAGAGCAGGGTTTAGGGCTGTTGTGCATAGGGTCGCTATGAGTCGGAAACGACTCGACGGCACATAACAACAACAACAACACAGTGAGTTAGAGTGAGTTCACGAATGAATGAATGAAAAAAATATGAAACAAGGAGGAAGAGGGATTGACTAGGAGGAGAAAAAGAGTATAATGAAAAATACAATATAATTCCTTTTTTGCATGTTAGATTTAGAGAAGAAATACAATGTAAGGAATTTATATTTTGATGCATCAATAATTCAAGTGAAGGATGGGCAATCTCCTCCTCTGAAAACCCACCAGACGGTCAGCTATGGGCCAGTTCCGACTCGACGTTACACAACAATAATTATTTTCTATTTATTAAAGCAAATCCTCTATGAACTTCTTATTTGACAGTGAGATTGTTGTTTCCACTCTATTTTATAAGTACTTGAAGCATATCATTGCTCTTCTCTTTAAAGAACCTAAACTTTAAACTGGTTCCAATGGGCCATAGATTCTTTCCCCTAAGAAAATGGGAACACACCCTTATTTTCTCTAAATTTTTATTTTCTAACCACTTTTAATATCTCTGGCTCAGTTTATAGTTTCCAGTCTACTTTCCTATCAAAGAGCCAGTGTTTCAAGTCTACACCAAAAGAACACACAGACCTTCCCCATCTGCCAAATTTGGATATTCACTGCAATCTAGCTGAAGTGATAATGCATTTTTGAGAACACTTTGTTTTCCAGCGTGTTAATCCCCGGCATTAGCCACCAAGATTGATGGCTCAGTGGAGCTGGCCCTGGTGGAATGTTTCCGCTTCTGCCAACTCTCCATTGTCGCACCAGCACGTCCAGATCCCGGCCTGTCACAGCCCAGCCCTTGGCCATTGTTGAACTGGCCGACCCTTGTCTGACCCAACGCTATCTTCCTGGATTGAATGCTGCTACATCTGGGTAGGGTTTTCAGGACCTGTTTTGCCGAAAGCTTTTTATCAATCCTATCTCTAAATCTGAAAGTTGTCCTATACCAAATACCTACAGTGCAGACGAAGAGCAATTAGGCTAACAAAGCAAATTCCTTGATGATGAGGGACTTTTGTTCACCTCTCTGACTGTCCTGCCTAATAACCGTGGTTTAAATCTGAATGTCACTAGATTCACAGGCTGGGGTGCCCTCCTTGTTGTATGGAAATATGTCTCCACATCTGCCATAATTGTGACTTCCATTTGTGTGAGCCAGCTGGCTGTGTGCGACTGGGCTCTCTGCAGGATCCTTTGTCCCAAAGCCTGAGACCTCTGCTCTGTACCCCAGGCCTAGCTTTTAATATTGAACCCTGTGGCATAGAGTGCAATGCAGCAGGCTCCAACCAAAAGGCTCACAGTTCAAAATCACCAGCTGTGTCTCAGGAGAAATATGGGCAGGGTTCTCCCCTCAGCATTTACAGCCTCACAAACCCAGCAGAGAATTGTGAGCAGGCCACATTCGACTTGACGAGAGTGGAGGGTTGCTAATGGGCCATGTTCAACTTGACGACAGTGGAGGACTGGTGGAAGGCCACACTCCACTTGACAACAGTGGAGGATTGCTATGCTAACAGGCCACACTCCACTTGACAACAGTGGAGGATTGCTATGCTAACAGGCCACACTCCACTTGACGACAGTGGAGGACTGGTGGAAGGCCACGCTCCACTTGACGACAGTGAAGGACTGCTGGTGGGCCATGCTCCACTTGACCATGGATTTGGTTTTGGCTTTTATGCCTTTTTGTTGTCATCATTGTGTGCTGTCGACTTGTTGACTCATAGCTGACCTTCCAGTGGGTTTTCAGCGGCAGTTAATTGCACGGGAGGAAAGTGCCCATTATTCTCCCATAGAACAGCCAGTGGATTTGAACCACATGCCTTAGGGACTGCAGCCCAGCTTTTTACCACTAGGCCACTAGATCACCCCTATGCATTTAATAGGGGCACTAATTAGTCCCTGTATGCCCTGACATCCTAGTACTAACAAACCCCATGCTGTGACACCCCTTAGGCTTAGCAAATGAGACAGCTGTGAAGGGCTATACCGCACCATAGGGAATGATCAAAGCCATTTAAGTTTTATTAAAAAGAGTCTGAAGTAATGTTTAAAAATTTCCCTTTTTAAATGCAGTAAGAACATGAATGCCTCTTCAGGAGAAGCTGCTGGGTGGCACAGATCAGTTACATGCTCTAACACACAGGTTGTAAGTTCACGTCTTCTCAGAGGTGTCTCAGAAGTCTGGTGAAGTGCTTCCAAAATCCCAGCCACCGAGGCCCCAAGGGAGTACCGTCGTGTTCTGACACACGGGGTGTTGTGCCCATAGACAGACTCACCCTGAGGGCAACTGCTTCTGTTTTTTTATAAGCGGGCCATCCAAGGAGCATCAGACGTGCAGAGAGCTTCAGCCCTACGTGGACCAAGTGATGCATGATGGTGAGACAGCGGGAGCGATACAGAAACATCTCCGATTGGAGG